GCAGGGTTTAGCTATTGTACGTTGCACATCAGAAAAGAAAGTTTCTCTTCCTTTACGAAGCTGAAAATATCACTGAAGCGATGAGCAAGAGCTACACAGAAGTAGAGTTTGTCTGGCAGTTTGAAGTTAGATTATTCCAGCAGGATTTCAGGGCATTGCTTGGTGTAACAATGCAATTATAACCATTTACACAGGCAGAAAAGTTTTCTTTGTGCTGTCATCAATATTAAGAGCCTGCAAGTCAAACTGCAACATACAAAAATGAACGAGTGAAGCAGAAATAGGGCTAGCTGTAATCTCAGTACCTTTGTTATCTTTTGAATACTGTCATGGACTTTACTTTGATTTCATAATGAAATGTTTTGTTTGTTACATTTCAAAGCAACATCTAACTTTTAAAAATGTATATAGATTTGCCACGTACAGTTATAGTATATTAAACCGGGAGAGAATCTGGAGACATTGTTCTGAAGATCCATATGTCTTTCTGAGATTCCTTTGTTTATTGGGGTATCATAGCCCAGAAATGTTTTGATGATGTTGTCTAAATTCACAAGTTAAATTTCTGTTAGAATTTTTTTTTTCATTACAGGTTAGGTATTTTTTCATATAGATGATTATACAGGCAGTACCTCTCATTTAGGTTTATGAGACATTCTGAGAGAAGAACAAAGGATTGCCTTTAATCTGGATAGGTTACAAATCAGGTTTGTGTTTGTAAGCAATGTTTTAAGTTGGATTAGTTTTCAGAGGGAGAAAAGAAGAAAAAAAAAAAGAGGTGCTTTGAAGTATTTGGTTATGGTCCTTGTTCTTAAACAGAGATGTGTCTTACTGTCAGAAAGTTGATTAAAGCTTGGTGAATGTCATTGCTGTCTCTGTGGTCCATGTTAAACAGACCACTTTAAAATGTATGCACTCAATTGTCAATGGTATTAGCATCCTCCAAATCTTAGCTTCACAGGATTGAAGCTTGACAAGACAGATTTTCTGAGTATATCTGCTTTGATACACATATCAGAGTATTAGCAACCTGTGAGATGCCAACCCTGGTAATACACAGAAACGCCAAGCTGTGAAGTGATACAAATGTGTTCTGTAAGCTTATGAACCTTAGAGCCCAGTGAAGTAGATGCCCCTGAGAACTTTGCATCAGGGTCAGCATTCAAAACAGGCTTGAATTAATCAGAATCTTGGGATTTTAACCTTATATGTGTATTTTGGTTTTGGATCAGAATTAAAATAGGAATCATGAATTTTGAATTCGATCCATTAATCTGCAGGTACTCTAAACTGAAATGGAAGTCTCTGCACTGGTACCTGATTAGTTTTGATTATATTTTTTTGTGGCATAAATGTTCTAGTTGTGACCTACATACTACACTCATACCGATTCTCCCTCATTTTCTCTCTAATTCTTATAAAGTAATCTCAGGAGGATATAGGAGCAGGACATTTAGAAGAGCTTATGTACAATTATTACTGTTCTAATTAAAATAATTTACACATGCAAAGTTATTAATATGATTAAAAGAAAAATCCAAAAATACCCTTTAATCACTACAGTGTGACTCCATAGACCTTTTCTACATTATAATAATTGAATAAGAACTATAAAGCTCAGAAATGTATCACATTCCTTTTAGAAAAAGAGGCATTTTAGTTTTGGTAAAAAAACAAATAGTCTAAGAGATGTTCTTAGCATACATTAGTACGAACTGCTTAAAACAAAGTAAGTTTATCAGTAGTATTGGCAGCTATATTCTTTTTATTATGCTGTAGAAGTACAGATGGAAGATACAGCCATGCCATAGAAGGGCACTGCACCTGCCCCCCCTGACCTGTGATGCCCTTGTTGCTTATTGCTTTTCTGCTTACCTACTTTATTTCATGCAAAAAGTTATAATTTGGCTGAAGTTGACAAAATAACCAACCGAAGAGTACCTGTTTATTCCATCATATTAATGTGACACGTAATTTTTCAACAGCCATTTTGTTCTTCAGAATTAATTACTTCTTGACAAGACTTCAATTTAATGTATTTTGTAGTAATTTACAAATTTCAATCTAAATTATTATTTTTTTAAATGCCCAGAATTTTTAATACTTCATGAACGATTTGTTACAAATACAGAATTCAGCCAAGGCAGTTTTATATTGTCTTTTAAACAGTATCTAAGTCTACCCAATCTGTCAGTGCTTCTCATACCTAACATCATAGCTGCATGATTATCAGCCTGTTCAGTCTCTAATATCCCCGAAGAGACCAGAGCCAATCTCACATCCAACCATTTAGGGTCAAGATTTCAACACGACTTCTGCACTATGCTTTCATGGGTTTGGAGGTAAAAAACTATAATTTTGCTTTTGTATTAGCAAATGCTTCTTGGGGGTATTCCTTACCCAGTATGGGTCACACAGACATTTCATGACTGCAACACACAAACACATGGCTGCAGCCTCTGGCTACTAAATCTCTGCAATTTATGCCCAGCAGCTCTCATGCACCAACTGATCGAGCACCGGTGGGTAAATTAATTGGGTGTTCATGGGTGAATGCAGTAAATCCTGCCGAGTATATACAGCTAAAATATTAGTGTGGTTTGCAAGTACTTATTACTTAAATGGGCCTGTGGATTAGGTATTTAGAGGAGGAAAAGTAAAATACGCAGCACCACAAACGGAAAAAGCAGTTTGTCCTGATAGGTGTTGCCTTTGAAGTACTTATGAATTAATGGCATTATAGCTAATCCCTGAAATGGATTGGACAATTGCTTTGTGAGATTAGGATGTGCTACTTTTACAAGAAAATAGTTCCATGGACATTTAATGCGTGTCTTGCAATACCTATTTCTTTAGTGTTGCAAATATAATTGTAATTAATTGTATTTGTAATTTTTTAAAATTTAACTTTTGTAATTGATTATCTTGTCAACTCTTACGTAAAGATAGTTTGAGAGATTTACTCTAGGTGAATTATCTTCCTGGTATGAATTTATGAGTTTAAATACCATGCTTCTCAGCTCAGAGAATGGCTGTTTGCATATACTCACTTTAAAGCCTTAAGAACCTTTGGATTTTAAGAAAAGTCTTTCTTAATGTTGGGTTTTATACCTTATGACACTCTGTCAAAAGCAGTGAAATCTTTTCTGTTGAAAACCTAAGGTTAATGCAGAGACCTGCATACATAATGTAGGTTAAAAACTGCATTACAGCTGATAAGGTACTGAATATGATACTGAAATAAGTACTGTTCAAACATGACTAATTGTACATCTCTTGGTATGGAAACCTCAAATGTATGACCTAGGATTCCCAAGAATAAATTTATTTTAAAATATATTAATACATGAGAGATTCATCAAAATCAACTGTACTATTCCAGTTTCCCAGAACTTTGTAATGAGTTAAACTGAAGGCATTTTCCTGAAGCTGCATGTGTTCATTTAAAATAGTACAAGTTCACCTGAATTTCTGCTTTCAGTAAAATTCTTTTCAAACTGTTGTGTAGTTTTGTCTTATAGTAGCACCTGTCACACAGGTTTGAAGGGTTTCGTTCAACGGAATGGTAGACATGCAAAAATAGTAAATTTCTGCTTTAACATGTTAAAATTGTACATGATTTTAAAATTATTTTATTTGAATATGTAGAATTGCATTGAAGTATAATTATCTGTCCATGAGTTTAATGAGGGACAGAAGAGCTATTTGCATTTTGGTGTACATATTTTGAGAAGCTAAGAAGTCACTTGAGTATTCTGCAGGCACAGCTGTGCAATCACTTTAAGATCGTGCTTAAGTGCTGAAATTGATCTACTTTAAAAGAAAAGGTATGATATGGTTAAATAAGACCCAGATTGAGTAAAAGGTTTTGTTCTGTGTTGAACAAAATGCTTTGATGTTGCTACCTCAATCGAAAATGTCTTTGTCTGGTTAGCATGTTTACTTAAATGGATAATGTTTCTAACTCTGATCTGCAGATGTAATTTAGAATTTACGGCTTAAATATTCTCAAATAAAAATACATGAAGAAATTGCATGTTCATGTTTCACATACTGTACATATTCAGCAGAATGTGCCATCATTTATGTAAATATAGCTGTATCCATGCCTGTAAGTAATTTTAAGATAGCACCATCTTTTTCTCTGTTATCCAGTAAAGCAAAAGGAATGTATTGGATGCTCTAATAATGGTTTAAAAGCTACAGAAAATGAATTTTAGCCCATTGTTAGGATGGAATATAATAACAGAATTCACCTGCATGAATTTTCATTTGCTTAACTGAATTTTGGTTCTGGTGGAATTCAGGCTGAAGCCAGTATTGCTGTTGCATGTAGATATCATTGTATTCATGGCTGGTTTAAGCTTTGTGTAAGGCTTTCTGGGTTGTGGTTTATTCATTGCTTCTTGAATATTATTCAAGAAATGAAATGTAAATATTTTTGATTCCTGACAGGTAATATAATTCTTTCCTACTTTCCTGGCTTTTGCTTCACCGTTGCCTGCTGTAAAAGATTAATGCTCTTCTATTCATTTTTTCGTATCTATTTACCAGCTGTCTGGACTCTACAAACTCTAATTCTCTTTTTATTGCCAGCACACACGCAATGAAAATAGGGGTATTCGTAGCAGAGTACTGCAGATGGAAAGTGTTTCTGTAAGCCTGGCACTGGGTTTCAGCAGCTCTGGTTAGTTATAGTTACTTTTAACTATGCTGAATTTAGCTTCCTTAGTACAAAATACAACCCATGCCCCAGTAATGAGTGAGAGGCAGAGGCAGCATATCACTATTTTTGTTTCATGATAGCACTTACAATACTGCTTACCAAAGCTGTCACTTTCATTTGACCACATAAAGAAAATAAATGGGGAAAGAAAGCTATAACTACCATGGCAGCTGCTAGAAAAAATGTTGAGGATCAACTGGCATTCATTTTCAAACTGGCATTTTTTAAGAGTGCATCCAGGCAGCAGTGTCAATTAAAATTCTTTTCTTTACAGATCTGATGCCATACCCATTTTTAACCCTTGACTAAGAAGAAACTGGATCCATGGATAAGGTCAGATCTGTGGTTATCAACGTTTTAATGTATGATGTCCATCATGTGTGTACAACTAGAAATGTCTGCCCTGGATAAGTACAAAAAAAAACAGATGTGTTTTCTTCAGGGCACTCTCCATTCAAATAAACATGATTGCAGCTCAGTGAACAAAAGACATGCACTCTCCATGATGCCTACTTAGTATAGTGTCACATAGCTGAATGTTTAAATAGAAAGTTAATATTTAGCATAAGCAAATAAACCCCCTTTATTTAATTTTTTTCCCATTGGCCAGATAACTGCAGGGAAGGATATCTTCACAAAATCATTCTCTTCTCCAAATTTTAACATTCCATTTGATGCAACGTATTTCAAATGTTACCTTTCTTTATGTAACAAAAGGCACTTAATTTACTACAAATGTCCACAGGTCAGTGTGCTTTAAGAATAAAGTTCATTTTTGGTTTTGTTTGCCAGCAGGAGAGTCTAAGTAAGATGATGTAAGCAGGGCATGCCAATTAGCCTGCCTTAAAATGATCCTATTAATAGAGAGGTACAGTGGTTTTATGAGTATAATTACTTTTATATTGACATAATTATTAAAAAAAAAAGAAAATCTGTCACAGTGACTCCATAATGCTGACAATGGAGTATTGTTTGTGCTGTGTCTTACGTTGACGTTTAAGATCATTCAAGGTGCATTGCCCTGAGCTGTAGGATGGAGGCAGAGCTAGTGCTATTGTCTGGCTCATTAGTTAATGTGATTCCTGTTCACTGACAACTCAGGTGGAAAGAAATACATCACTTCCAGCACGTGCTGAAAGCTGGAAGCCTGTGAATGAGCCAGATTTCTAAATCCTTCTCTGAATTTTGGTACTGCCATTAGAGAGTATGAGGAGGAAGAAAATTCTCTGTTAGAGAGATAACTGATTAGAGAGATCTTTTTCTGCATTTGGTCAAACAAAGCACTGGTTTATAAATGAGAAAGACTGCCTGAGCAGTGAAAGGCTTTTACAGAGTAATTCAACAGTTATTGTGAAGGTTAGCTTTCTCAGAAGCAGACTAATGTTTGTGTTCAAGGACAGTAAGGAGAAAGAAAGAAAGAAAAAATATATGTATTAGGGAAAGAGTAAGAGTCTTTGTAGTGGTTTTCCTGAAAGACAGACTTGTGAATGCACACAAAAGCAATAGTTAAGAAGGGAAAGATATTGACAGGAAAGGAAATGGATAATTACTTTAAAGTGTCAATATTTCCCTTGAGTATTTAAATGAGAGCATTCTTGTCCCTCATCCATTCTTGGGGGAGGGAGACTGTGGTTCACTGCAGTGCCATAAATTATAGAAAGGCAAGTTCATCTCCAGTTCCATGGCTTTAGTGACAAACCAGGCTTGGGCATATGCTAACCCACTCCAGTCAACTACAGAGCCTGCCTTCTGCAAGCTGTCAACCAGATACTGAATAAGATTCAGATAAAAATAGCAAATTTGTTTATGTTTGTATTTTAATCTAGGTCATATTTGGGATCCAGCTTTTACTGCTTCTCTGTGAACATCTACTGGTGACACATGTAGTGTTGGGGCCAGAATGAATGACATATGAGGAGTGTGAAACTCATTAATGCCATTAAAAGCTGTATCTTTTGACTCTGTGTACTAGACATGTAAAAAAAAGTACCTCTTCACATAGCAGTTACATACATGAATTCAAATTGTGATGAGTGTATGGGTCACATCCTGCCCACAATTTACAGTTAGTCAGTTCTCAGCAGTTGCAAGAGAAGATTATTTTGTTTAGCCATGCGTAGAACAGAAACACCAGGATTAGAAATGCTCACAGGTTTACAGATGTGCTTGTGTAATCCATATAGGCTGTAAAAAAAACAATTTATAAGAAATACTTTTTCTGTTACACTGATACAAATGAGATTTATCTCTGTAACCCCAAAATTAGATTACTTGCATGCCAACAAATGCTTTTTTTTCTGTAGAAGATGAAAAATATTAACATCTGTCACTTCAGTTCCCAGAAAATCTTTTCAGGTGCAAATTCTATTGTGTACATTAATAGCAGAGTTCACAAGAGAAAAATATGTTAAATGTATTTTAGCATCATCTAGAAGAAAATATGTTATGTTACAAGTTGTCTAGCAAATGTATGTCAGATTAGCTGAACAGTTTTTTAACAAGTGTGTCCTCGTTCCTTCAGGAACTGACAACAATAGTAGCTAGATTCTCAAGGAAATTTAGGTTCCCAGTGCCTCTTGAAAACAGAAGTGGGTAATAAAAGTTATTCTGCTCTTCAGGATTTTAGTGAACTTGAAAAAGTGATCAGGAAATGCTTGGGAAGACAAAGGTGACATTTGCCTCCTTGACTACCTAAAGTGATGTACTTACTCTGGAAAAAGGTACTATTGACCGTTCTGTTCTATGCAGAGTTAGAGAAGAATAGAGAGAACTTTTTGAGTTGTGTTAGTTAAAAATGCATTAAGTTGAAGACAACAACACAAGTAAAAAGTTTTTCATAGTCTTCTAGAAGTATAAGCCATACTCATCAGATAAAATACAAGTGCAGTTTTACTGACATTTGGCTTCATGTACATCCCATTGGTGTGTGATTGCCTGTTTTACAGTGACTCTGTAGATGTTCAAACCTATCAATTATCAAGTAAATGACCAAAACATTAAAAATAAAAAAAGAAATTAACTCATCCAGACATCCTTGCCCATTCTGGGGTCTCTTCCATTAAATGGATAAGGACTAAATTCCTTATTAAAAATATGGATTGAGAGTTTGGACACAATGTTATAGTATTGCCAGTTTCTGCCACAAACAGGTTAAAGCAATAAATTTATTTGGTTTTTTACTTCTTATTTCTTGAGAAACAATCAACTCACAGGATTGCACATTTCAGATTAATTGGCCAATAGGACTTGACAGGTCTGATCAGAGCAGGATCATTACCAGATGTGATGAGCCTTATCTTCTGTCTGAATAAAACAAAGATTGCAGAGTACCTGTAAGGACAAAGGAAGAGCAGTACTTTTCTTATTCCTATGGAAAAAAAAAGTAGGATAAGGACTGTAAAATTAGCAAAGCTTCCTACAGTCTGTATCACTGAAGTGACTTTACAACAGTTCCATATTAATATACTGTTGTTAGTTAAGATCACAGCAAGTACTATTTTTATTTACTGTGAAGTTGTACTACCTCCCAGAGCCTTATTAGCTGCCAGTTTAGTAAGGATATTTCTCATCTCTCACCCATGATGATACTACAAAACAGTGAATTGTCTTTCCTAGGAAAAACATACCTGAACTGCATTTTATGCATCCTTTTAGACTGACAGTGATTAATAATCATCCCACATAGGGTAAACTTCATCTAGATGATCTTTTTTGTGTTCACTCATGAGAGTCTCATGTGAGGCTGTAAAACACTGAGGTTGTGATGAATTACACAGTCTGTTTTTCTTTTGTCCCCAAGACCTGTCAGTGTACTGCAGAAAAAAAAGTTTGATGGGTTTGAAAAGATTCATTCTGAAAAAAATACATTGATTCTTACTTGTCTTTCTGGTATCATCTAGGTGTCTTACAGATGGATTGTGTGCCTACTCCAGAAACTGAACTCAAGCAAGTAGGTCTATATTTAGACCTTAGATTTTGGCTTTTAAAAATGTGTTTTCCTTTGTATCTACCTTTTCTGAACTCTTAACTGCTCTAAGGAGCATTCATCAGGCTATATTTATAGTCATCACACATAAACCATATGCTGGGGCAAAACAGAATATAGAGGAAAATAACAAATTAACTGTTGGGTTCAAACACTTTACAAAAGCTGACTGTGAATAAATGACAACGCTTAAATTTAACAGTTTCTTTTTTACAAAAGCAAAATTATCCTCCTATTAGAAACAAATCATTGTAATTAGCCAGTCAGAATAGAGAGTAAGATGCTCATTTATTTTCTTAATAAAATACTTATGAATCTGTAATTTTTTTTACATTTCTTTTGTTCTCTCCACATGCTCATAAAATATAAAAATCCTTAACTCAAATATATTTTAATCAGTATAGGAATAATTTACTTTATGGTTTATTTTAGAAATAATGCTCTAGGAAAAGAATTACCTTAAAAGTAATCTTTATATATTATGTCCCCTGAAATATGTATTCTAGAATAACTTTTTATCAGATGTGAGTTATAGCCATATTTTAGATATTGAAATAACAAAATTAAGCCCTGATTGTTTTCATATAAGCTAGCAAAACCAGAGCTATCCAGTCTAGTTTTATGGGGATGGACGATAGTTCCTGTCTTCCAATAACACATGGGGATTTTTAATAGAAAAATTAATGTTTCATTGGATTTATGCACACAGATGACAAAATAGATGTGGTTTGAAATGTGTGTAATTACACTGAATGAACAATTTAGAAGAAGTTGATCTGTCACCCCCTTTAATCTCTAAAATAAATGTGATCTTATGGTGGTTTATAAAATTGCATTTGTCTTTTAAACTACTACATCAGAATATGTATCAGACATGAGGATAAAGAAGTACTGGTTCTGAATAACTAAATTACAGTAATTTGAAAAATAAGAGCATTTTGACTACATTATTGTGTAAAGAGATTTTTTTAAGTATATTAGTAGGAAAGATCATACAGCTGGAGTACTCTGGCTAAAAAAAAGTAGACATAGAAGAATATATAGAGTAAATGTTGATATTGCAGGTTGGAAATTACATGTGGCTTTTTTTTTTTTAGTGGTACATGCATGTGAGCCTGATGGAAAGAAGCAGAATAAATACAAAATCCACAGTGAGTGTATATAATAATATTTTGGTTATTGTCCATATATGCGATCTTACTAGGTTCTACACTTCTGCTTCATAGGCCATTTGTCAATTCCAAACAAATGACAACTCCCTTAATGTTTGCTAACTGGCAGTTTATGTAAATTCCTATTTTAGCATAGTTTATGGCAGACATATCCATTTGCTGGAAATTTGGGTGGATT